TCTTCAAATTTCACACATCCCAATATTTATATTAACATTCATTGTTCGCGCTAAGTTCATTAAAATATGAGGGAAAGTATGAAAAAAATTAAAACACTTGTTTCATAAAATTTTGAATGAGTCTGACAGAAAGCGGGCATAGCCTCAGGGCTGTATTTCTGTAGTTTTACTAAGCTGTTCTACCTCCTTATTGTACCATGCATCCTACTATTTTTATGAATTTAGATTGATCTGGTAGTAAGACGGAATATATCGGTCCACTCCTTCTGGCCACAAACGCTCAAAATTTTGAATATCCATGAAGTTCATTAAAAGCGAAAGCAACATCCGATTCTATTCCAGAAATGCTACATCTCATTATTTCCATCAACACAAGATCTGTTATTAAGATGGTAGAGATCGGACCATTTCTTTTGCTACCTGCCTTTTATTTGTCATAAATTGCTAAACAATTCAGCGATTCTTTACCGCAATCATATGCACAATATCAAAATCTTCTATAATTTAAGTAGAATCTAGTACTTAAATATACATACACCAATTTGAGTCCCTCCACATGAGATCGGAGGTATATCGTCTACTGAAATTAATTTTCAATTTTCAAAAAAGGGGCCATAGTTGTTTACATTCTTAACTATGTAGTTTTAATGAGAGTTCTTTAAAATGAATACAAAATATCATTAATAGACAATTCCATTGAAAAATACCCTTCGTTTTAAGACTTTCTCATTTGCACACTCTAATATATAAATGAAATCCAAATAAGTATATATCCCCCCATACCATATGTATGTGCGTATGCATTTCAAATGAAATCATGTCTCTAGATTTCTAACTCAACATTTATTTTTATATTCATTTCGTGACATTGAAAATTTGAATAAAATCAAGCAAAACGTTTAAACAATTGTGTTTGCGTTTAGTATTCGCATTGATTGCAACCAATTGTTTTCTGAGTGCGAATCTAAATATAGCAGCGGAAACGAACGAAATCGAAAGTTCATTGAACTAAAATTTGGCAAACAATTACAGCTGAAACAGAAATGAAAATAAGTGGAATTAATTTAGAGCTGGTCGATCTTTTTATACCCTCCGCTATGGGAAAATTAATATAGCCAAATTGGTTTGTAAAAGTAGAAAAATTGTGCACGAAGAACTCATAACATCGGTCTATATATCGGACTTTTCAACAAACCGACAAGGATATACATACACTTTATGAGTTCTCACACTAAGACTTTCAATTTTTTATCGTTTCTGGGAGAGGTCCGTAAACTTGTAGACCCCATGTAAGTGCACCTCCAGATATTTGGATGATTTGAATTACATTTTTACCGGTTGACAATAGGTACCATCATCTCTGATAGAAATTTATCTATATATTCTCCTCAATGTAGCACACATACAACTGTACTTAACGATATTCGGTAGTTTAATGATTTATGTCACATCTTTTAAAAGATTGTTTCAAATTCGGTATATGAAGGTTGAAATGGACAATATTTGTGACAAAAAATTACTTATAAAAGTACATGTCTTTGTATTTCCCCCATACAATGATACCTTCCTATATTCAGTATTTTTCCGATTTAAACAACGTTTTTTCAACGGATTTTATATCAAATATGGTTTACCTTTTTTTACCTTTTTTTTTTTAATTGTAACATGGGTTTAAACACATTGAACAAGTTATACGTTGTATAGATCCAAGATCTGACAGAAACCTTATTGCAAGTCCTCTATTGGATGATCCTTTAAGGGATTTTTCGGAATTAGAAATGACCGGTGGGTAGAAATGCAATAATGATAAGAAATCCAGATGGTAAGAATGACTGGAATATTTTTTAGGGAATTTAGACGTAACATGGAGAAGTAAACAAGATAGACCAATAGTTACTTGTGAGCATCTTCGTAGAATCACTTTCTGAGTCGATTTATGCATGTCAGTCCGTCCGTTCATCTGTCCATATATATTTGTGAAAAAAATGCATGTCGCTTTTAATAACCGATTGAGATGAAATTTTCCAAACAACATTTGTCTGGCCCAAGGACGAACCCTATTGAAATTGTTGATAATCGGATCAGATTTAGATATAGCTCCCATATACATATCTTCAAACGATTCCGGGTTTATTGTGCACCATATGGCCATTATAAATCCAAATGACCTGAATTTTTGTATATCCCACCAAATTCAAGATGTAAGTACATCAAATTTGGAGAAAATCCGTTTAGATATAGCTATAGCTCCCATATATATGTTTCACCCGATTTGGGGGTTTAAGTCCCTCACATTCTCAATATGCATCCCTTGCAATGATAATTGGTACCAAATATCAGATACAGCCCAGAAATATCTCTGCTCAATTTTGCCAAGATAGGTTCAGATTTGGATATAGCTCCCATGTACAGGGTGAGATAAAAAAAAAACTGGAACAAAGTCCAACGCTATAATTTTTACAATTTTTACAATTTTTTTAATTTTATTGAATGAAAGCAAAAAATATCGGAAATAACATCAAATTTTAGAATAAGTTTAGATTTGTTCGAATTGGTCACGTTTGGCACGAATTATGGCCTTGAAACGGCCAATGAAACCATTACACTCTGCCCGAATGTGGCTCTGCGGCATTTTGGCCCATTCCCGGCGAAGCGCTTGCTTGAGGTAATCGACACTTTTGTATTATTTAGTGTCAACCTTGCTTTCCAAAATACTCCAGACACAATAGTCCAATGGATTGGTATCCAGAGATTTTCTGGCCATTGTGCGCTCGAAATGAAACGAGGATCCTCATTTTTGATGGTGCTGAGTCCTGTTGGAATTTCCAAGGTCTGAGGCCAAAATGTTTGCGTGCCCAAGGCTTTAATATACCTTCGCGATAATATTGGGCATTTATTCTGATCCAACGGTCGATTAATACGAGCGGAGAGCGACCATGGTGCTGAGTCCTGTTGGAATGACCAAGGTTTGCGGCCAAAATGTTTAATGTAAACACGATCATTTTGTTTGTTTACAAACTGCTGGACAATGAATGTTTTCTCATCGGAGAAACCCAAATTCGGCAGTTCACCACTTTCTGCCCAGCGAAGCAATACTTTAGCTCTTTTGAGTATATTTTCTTTATGTTGCGGTGTAAGTTCTTCGAATGGAATTTTGCGGTATGTTCAGCTCACGAGCCATTTTTCGGGTTTCGATCAAGTCGTTTCTGCTGATGTTGCTGTTTTCTACCATCCACTTCCTTGAGTCGGACTAAGCTACCAGTATTATGGTAACGAGCGATTGTACGAGGCACAAAATATTTATTTAAATTTAAATGCTGGAGTGCTTTAACGTGGTTTTTCAGCCTAATATAAAGAAATCACACTATCACGCTGATTTCCTTCACAAATAACTTTTTATACCCTCCACCAAAAAAGTATGGAGGGTATATTAAGTTCGTCATTCCGTTTGTAACTCATCGAAATAATCATTTTAGACCCAACAAAGTATATATATTCTTGATCAGCGTAAAATTCTAAGACGATTTAGCCCTGTCCGTCCGTCCGTCCGTCTGTCCGTCTGTTGTAATCACGCTACAGTCTAAACGAATTAAGATACGAAGCTAAAATTTTGCACACAGAAGATGGTATAGCCCCCATATAACTGTACCCCCCCCCCCATATTCGGTATTTTGATGATTTTATCCACATTTTTCAACGGAATTGTCTGAAAATCCACACAAAGAGTTCCTTGTGGGTACTTTATGCCTCGGCAGAGAATTTTCTATATAGGTCCACAATATCGTTTAGCCCCCATATTACGGTAACCCCACGGTATTCGACATTTTGATGATTTTAGCCAAATTTTTCAATGGAATTGTCTGAAATTCCACAAAAGGAGTCCCATGTGGGCATTTTAAGCCCTCAAAAAGAATTGTCTATATAGGTCCACGATATCGTATAGCCCCCATATAACTGTACCCCCCGATATTCGGTGTTTTGATGATGTTAGCCACACTTTTCAATGGAATTGTCTTAAAATCCACACAAGTAGTTCCTTGTGAGTACTTTACCCCCTGAGAGAGAATTGTCTATACAGGTCCACGATATCGTACATCCCCCATATAACGGTACCCCCACGGTATTCGGTATTTTGATGATTTTACCCACATTTTTTAACGGAATTGTCTGAAAATCCACACAAGGAGTTCCTTGTGGGTACTTTATACCTCGGCAGAGAATTATCTATATAGGTGCACATCGTTTTCAACGGAATGGTCACAAGGGGTTCTTTGTACACAAGGAGTTCCTTGTGGGTACTTTATACCTCGGCAGAGAATTATCTATATAGGTCCACAATATCGTATATCCCCTATATAACGGTACTCCCCCATATTCGGTATTTTGATGATTTTAGCCACTTTTTCCAATGGAATTATCTGAAAATCCACACAAGGAGTTCCTTGTGAATACTTTACACGCAGACATAGATTTGTATTTATAGGTCCACAATATCGTATATCCCCCCATATATCGGCACCTTCCTATATTAGATATTTTAAAGATTTAAAAGAATTTTTAATGGATTTTATTTGTTTGAAAATTTTTTAATTCGTTCCAAATGGTGGAGGGTATTTAAAGTTCGGCCCCGCCGAACTTACTGCTTTTTTACTTGTTTTCTTTAAAATTCTCACCAAAACGCTTTTGTACGCTTGTAAACAATATAATGACTGGAATAATTTTAACAGCTGTCGAACGAGTGGCTTTGAAATTACAGCAGTCTGAAGTTGGTTGCAGTTTCTTCATCTCACCCTTAAGCCTAGAACTTTTCAGCCGAATTGTCCCATTTTTATGCAAAGTATTTAATGTATTGTTTTCTGTGTAGAACAATTGCGCATTGTTTGTTGTCTTCTTAATTGCTGTTCATGACAATCACTTTTTAGCGCCAAATTTGCGCCTCGTCTTTTATCAATTCGATTTCCTTTTCACTATCAATAACAAAGACATTGTAAAATTGAACTATTTTATTTTACACATCAGTCTCGCTGCTATTGTTCAGGCTGTAGGAAGTCTAACGAAATTCCTCGGAAGTGAATAAAAAAATTGAGAAGATAAATAATAATTTAAAATTTATAAGGCGAAAGCAATTATAAACAATGTAAGAAAAATAAAAATAAAAAAACAACAAAAGAATTAATGAAAAATTTATAAAAATATTAAAAATGTATTAACAAAAAAAATCCGAAAAAATAAAATTTAGTGTTACACAATTAAAAAAAAAAAACTCTCATTAAAGACAAGCTATAAAAATTTCATTGTGGTTTTAATTTTCTCCAAATCAAAGAATTTCTCCTAATCCATATTAATGTGCCTGTAAAATTGCATTTTCCTTTAAATATTTTAGTGCTACTTTTCTTTTGCATTACTTAAAAGTTATACAATATTCAAATAAAATCGTTTATTTTTTCATCCGAACTTGACCTTGTTGTAACAATTGTGCATTTCCTCAAATAATCAAAAATAAAAACAAAACAATTTTATTCTCTCTTTTTATAGATCAACCAAGAATATCAATTGCATGAAGTGATTCACTGGCAGTTTGTTCGAATAAACAAATAAAACGCAAAACGTTTTTATCTACACCACACTATCGAATTTGTAAAACAACAACAAGAAAAGCAGCAACACCACAACAGCCAACATGTCTCTTACATATAGTCTGCGAACACCTCATGTTCGCCATATGCGTAGCGAAGTCATAAATGATCCCGACACGCCTGGATATGTTGTTAACTTCCATCAACCGGTTCTCGATTATTTAGATGCCAAATCGCAATATTTACATGGATCACGAACCCACACACCATGGACCGATGAATGTACACCCAAACATTATCGTTCCACCTCAACGCTGAATCAATTGAGCGCCGTCAAATCCCTCAAAGTTGATCATGAAACCGATGAAAGAACCGAGGATATTATTAGTGACCTGCATCTCCAGCACCGGGCTCCTTTCGATGAAGTACCCATGTATGATCCCTCGCATGTTACCAGGCATACCCATCCCGATATGGTCTCAGATCAAGCCCAGAAACGTATACGCTACTTGAATCAACGTCAGCTGGAGAATCAAATTAAAAAAGACACCATGGAAATTGTGGATCGTATCAATCGCCTGGAACTCGACAACAATGAGTTGCCACGTGAAGTGGAACGTCAGATACGTGGCATCTATTCACGTGTACTGCCACCTTATGTCCCCGCAGAGTATGAAGAAGAGCTTGATACCGTCATTGATCGGGCTGCCTCACGTGTTCGTGCCACATCACCCGATGCCGCATATCGTAAACCATATCCCAAATACATGCAAACCATTGATGAGCGTCGTGCGAGTAAACTATACAAGCAAGTCAGTGCCACACTCAAAGAGTCCAAACGCACCCTGCGCAAAATGGATGATCGCGTCGAATGTGATTTCTACAAGTGCAGCTTGAATGACAAATGCTGGCTGTGTCGCAAACTGATGCGTAACAATTCACGACTCCATTACTTCCCCAGCAATGCGAATCCCATTATTCCAGGTTATCGTCGCAAGCATAAAGTCACTTAGATGGATGCTGATGGTGATGATGATGGGAATTTCCAATGTCCTCCCATGTTGTATACTAGCCATGAAATAAATGTAACCATAGATAGTTAGGCTACTTTTTGTTCGACAAATTATTAGTAAAATAAATAATATTATCTATCCATATATAAAAGACTAGAGAAATAACTGACTGGTCGAGAATCAAAGCCCAGACGAAGCGGCTAAAGCAAGAATCTTGAGGTTTGCATAAGGGTTAGTCTTTGTGCGTAGGAGTGAGATAAGACTAGGTTTCTGGAAATCCACACTATAAGTGTACGAAAAGGACTAAAAAATTAATAATTGCATAAGGCAAATGAGCTATAATTCTTGGGAAGTACGAACTTAAAGGTTAGGAAAAATTCTAAAATGGTACTAAACTTCTACAGTGGCATTTGCTGTTTGAACGTATAGAGCTAAAATTCCGAAATTTAGTACGAGAATCAAGGCTGGAAAGCAAGTTTGATGCACTAAGGTGGTTTTGGAAAATTGCAAGAAAAGTACTAAATAGATACATATTTCGTACGAATTGGAATTGAGTGAAAAGAAAGAGTTTGAAATCTGAAATATGTTGTTGGGGCCGTTGCTCATGTGTAGGCTGGACATCTGGAGGTGGTTTTGGAAACGTGTACTACATATGTGGGAAAAGTACTGAATGGTACTACATTTGATATCGATTGAAGGAAATTCTGAATTTTAAACCCTACACCACAAGGTGGTCAGGGTATTATGTCTTTGTGCATTTGTTTGTAACAGGCAAAAGGAAACGAGATAGACCCTTTTGATTATCTGCATAGAATCACTTTCTGAGTTGATTTATGCATGTCAGTCCGTCCGTCCGTCTGTCCATGTATTCTTGTGAACAAAATGCAGGTCGCATTTATTATCCGATTGAGATGAAATTTTCCAAACAACATTTGTTTGGCCCAAGGACGAACCCTATTGAAATTGGAGATAATCGGTAAAAATTTAGATATAGCTCCCATATATATCTTCGTCCGATTTGCCTTTTATTGTGCACCAAACGTATAATATCAGCCCGAATAGTATGTAATTTTGCACATACAACCAAATTAAATTGAAAATAAGTATGCCAAATTTGATCGAAATCGGTTCAGATATAGCTATAGCTCCCATATATATTGTTCATCCGATTTGTTATTTTTGTCCTCCGCAGCCGTAACATGCACTCTGTAACAACAATATTTGGGGAAATATATCAAATGCAGCTCAGAAATACATTTGCTAAATTTTATTCGAGATCGGTTCAGATTTGGATATAGCTCCCATATATATTGTTCATCCGATTTGTTGTATTTGTTACCCACAGCCGTAATATGCACTCCGTAACAACGATATTCAGGGAAATAAATCAAATACAGCTCAGAAATATCTTTGCCAAATTTTAACGAGATCGGTTCAGATTTGGATATATTTCCCATATATATCTTTATCTGATTTCAAATTAATTTTGCACCAAATGGGCAATACAAGTCCGAATTTAAAAGATACAAATGCTTCGGCATATTTAGTCCTTTGAACTTTAAATTATAATTATAATCATAGCGTGTATGATTGAATTCTCCCATAAAAAGCTTTTAATTGTTATGCGCAGCTCTACTAAATTAGTAAAGTGGTGTAGGGTATCATAAAATCGGCCCCGCCCAACTTTAGGACTTTCTTTACTGGTTATATTTAGATTACTGATGGGATGGGTGAATGGATGGGGCTGGAATCCATAAATTTGCTATAGATATCACTGTTGGTGTCTTTGAGACAAGGAGCTGGTTTTGGAAAAGCGCCCTATGTCTGTACTGAAAGAACTAAATTGGTATTGGGTGAACGGATACAGCTGAAATCCTCAAATTTTATATTGAGATCACTGGTAATATCTGTGCAATAATTGTACGAAAAGAAGAAAATTTGGTACTGGGTGGAGAAATAGAACAGAAATTCTGAAATTTGATATAGAGGTGTCTAAAATTGAGATAATGAGGTGGTTTTAGAAATGTATACTACAATTGTACCAAAAGTACTAAATAGTACCGATTTTGTTATTGGGCGAAGGAATAGAGCTGAGATTCTGAAATTTGATACAGATGTCACTGTTGGTGTCTATGGGTAAGATTTGGAGGTGGTTTTGAAAATATGTACTATAATTGTACGCAAAGTACTGAATGGTACTGTATTTGGTTTTGGGCAAAGAAATAGGGATAACATTCTGGATAGTTTACTGATATTTAAAGTAAGGCTGGTCCTCAACTTTGACATTGAGATGTCTCTAGGTATCTAGAATTGAGATATTGAGATGATTTTGCAAATGTTTACTGCAAGTGTATGAAACGCACTAAATAGTATTATATTTGGTACAATTTGGTATAGGGTGAATAGATAGTACTTGAAATCTGATATTTGGTATTAGGGTCGCTTTTCATGTGTAACTTCGACATATGCAGGTGATTTCGGAAGTGGTACGAAAAGTACTTAATGATGTTAAATCGGATATTGGGCGAAGGAATAGAAATAAAATTCTAAAATTTGATATTTAGATTACTGATGATATCTGTGTTTGAGATTTGGCAGTGGTTTTTGGAAATGTGTACCATAATTGTTCGAAAAGTACTAAGATAGAACAGAAATTCTGAAATTTGATATTGTGGCATCTTTTGGTATCTGGGATTAAGATATGGAAGTGATTTTGAAAATATGCACAATAATTTTCCTAGAAGGAATCCTGAACTTTGTTATTGGATAGACAAATTGGCTGTGGGTTCATTGTGCAATGGCTTCATTCATACCCTGCATTTTGTGTACTAACAAGTAAAAAAGCTGCAGGTTCGGCCAGGCTGAACTTTGAATACTCTCCACCATTTGGAACTAATTTGGTAATTAAAAAAAATAAAACCCGTTAAAAATTCCATTAAAATCTTAAAAATACCGAATGGAGCCATTATATTAGGGTTTATATGACGACATAGACCTGCATAGGCAACTTTTGTCATACAATATTCAAATGCGAAACAAAGTAGTGAACAAAGTAGGTAAAATCGTCAAAATACCGTATATATTGAGGTACCATTATAAGGGGGCTATACGAAGACGTTAACCTGCATAGACAATTGTCTGTCTAAAGCTGTGGGGGATATAAAAAGGCCTAAAATGGACAGTTGGAACAAAACTAAAATTTTAAGGTGGACTTATCACTTCAAAATCCCGAATTTCAAAAATTTTCCCAAATTTAATCAAATTTATATAAGACTCAATAATATAGCTGCCATGTTCGTTATAAATCCAATATTTAATATTCCGGCCCCTTAAAGTCTATTTTTACGAGAAAAATACACAATTCTGGAACACGAAATTTCCTATGTTAAACAAACCAAAACCCAGTCATTAGCCATACATAGTTGGGGATACAGAGAAAATTTTATATGAACCCTTGTTAGAATTGAACGTACGCACACCACAACCTACCAACTGGCGAACCATAAAAACTGTTTACAAACCCACGAGCGGATGACAATTATTAAAGACCGGCCGAATGGTACACGTTATAGTATATATTCATATGAAATTGAAATAATAACAGACTAAAGTCAACAATTTAATTTCAATTTTCGATTTTTCTTTGATTGAATTGAAATGAAAAGATTCAATTTTATTTGGGCATATAAAAGGAAACAAAGGCTATTTTGGCATCAGTTTCCGTAGAGCAATGGCTTCACAAGGACTTCAAAAAGGTCAAAGGATATTTTCAATAATTTTCTTGTTCTTACAACTACAACAAACGACAAACTGCAATAATTTCAGTACTTTGGAAATAATTGAATATTTTAATAAAATTGAAAATATTGAAATAAATTTGTTTGTGGATATTGGCCACAAGAATATAACGGGATTTCATGACATGATTGTGAATTCTGAAATTCCAAAAATTATAATCACCTCGGAAAATTCATCTCAAGATAATTTATATAAAGAATTCAATATGAACATCTTGACTATGGTGCGCATTGATGAGGATAATCAGAATGCAACCTTATCACTAATGGATCAGTTATTGTGGAGACGACATTACACCAGCATTATTGTGTTCTATGAGGAAAATAAAGAGGATAATGATGAGGAGGAGCAGTTGATAAATTTTTTTCATGACTGCTGGCAGAATGGATATTTATCGGTATTGCTGGTGTTGCATAACATCACCTATACCTACACACCCTATCCCAAGATAACTGTTATACGCCTGGAAAATTATATGGCATTTGAAAAAATTCAAAATCTAAGACCCCTAAATTTCAACGGATTTGAAATTTCTACTGCTTTCATCGAATATCCACCCCGTTGCTTTAGTTTTCACAGTCGCCATGGTCAACTCATCAGATCGGGATATTATTACAAGATTGTGGAGAATTTTGTGCGACAATACAATGGCTCTCTTAGACCGGAATTCGTGGATGCCTGGGGTATCAAATTTGATGATGATAGCATACGAGATCTGGTGAATAATCGTGGCTTTAGCTTCATACCAACCCACTTGACAGCCAGTGAGAACTACGAGAGCAGTTATTTTATACATTTTGGCAAATGTTATTTAATCGTGCCGGCGGCTAAAGAGATCAATCAGAATCTATATCTTCTGGTGTCCTTCGACATGGGTATGTGGCTGATGATGGCCCTAATATTAATCATATTAGCTGCAATAATCACGGTCATCAATGTCCTGCATTATCATAGACGACTTATTGTCGAGTCCATATTCAAGGCTCTGCAGATTGTGATTTTCATATCGGGCCAGGTTTTTCAAGATAAAACCCTCTTCACCTACATGCTGCAGCTGTTGTTTCTCTGCATTGGCTTATTTCTCACCAACTGTTATACCGGTAATCTTTCCAGTATGTATACCTCGAGGATATATGAAGCCGATTTGAACACGCTCGAAGATGTTGGCCGCACCAACCTGGGTATACACATCTATTCATTGGATTATAAAATGTACACGGCATTGGAGAATCTGCCCGCCATTATTTACAAGCGTTTCTTCTTGGGTAATAATACCGTATTTAATGTTAATCGCAAAAATTTAAAAATGGTAAGCATTTACAATGGCCTCGATGATACTGTCGATTTACTGCTGTACCAGCAGCTGTATTTGAAAAGACCTTTGGCCAGATATATTCCAGAGCCATTGTATACCTTGCCCATGTTTGTGACAATGCCTCATCGTTTGGCCTTTGTCAAGCATTTCGACCATTATATATGTTATCTCGCCGACAGTGGAATTTTGAAGAAATTCAAGGCGGACAGTAAATGGGATGGTATAATGGGTCAAACGATTCGATTCCTCCAGGATGCTCCACCAAATCGGGCCATGTCATTATTATATCTGCAGTATGCTTTTGTAATGTTATTTTTCGGATTACTGTTGGGCTTCGTGACATTTGTTTGCGAAATACGAAAAGCAAGGAGAGAACGGTCTCAAATAAGTAACGAAAATGGGAAAAATAATTAATTATCTATAAATCCGTGTATGTATCTATATGTAGTATAAATGAGATAAATAAATAAATACAAAAAAATCAGCTATAATACGCTCCATCATTTGGAAGGGACTCACAAAAGGTAAAAATAAAAATCCGTTGAAAACTGCGCTAAATTTTAAAAAAATTCGGGAATGTGATGCCTATTACGACATTTAAACACCAAATTGGAGATAATTCTGTTGAGATTCTGTAGTTAAAAACATCAAACTATTGAATATAGGTGGTATCGTTATATGGGGGCTATGCGAAAACGTGTACCTATACAGGTAATTTTTGTCACAGGAAGTAAAACCCATTGCAAACTCGAAGCTCCAAATTTGAAATAATTCTGCTGAAATGTATGGATAAAATCATAGGGAGGTGCCACTGTCTATAGCCAATTATTTGTCAGAGAAGGCGTTACCTATTCCGAACTCCAAATACCAAATTTCAAAAAAAAATTAAAAAGTGTGACACAAATCATCAAAACGCCGAATATATGAAGGTACCGTTATATGAGTACTCGTACCTGTATGGAGAGCTATACGCAAGGATGTTTCCTACATGCTGGGAACACAAACTACCAATTTACAGCGAAATCGGGTGAAAATCGAGAGTAAAATATTCCGGTTGCGTTATAGAGGTTGAGATAAAAATCTGCAACAAAGTCAAACGCCATAATTTTTAAATTTTATTGAATGAAATCAAAAAATTTCGGAAATAGCATTAAATTTTAGAATAAGTTTAGATTTGTTTGAACTGATCACCTTTGGCACGAATTATGGCCTTCAAACGGCCAATTAAACAGTCAGACGCTGCCCGGATGTTGCTCTGCGGTATTTTGGCCCATTCCCGGTGAAGCGCTTGCTTGAGGTGATCGACACTTTGGTATTGTTAAGTGCCAACCTTGCTTTCCAAAATACTCCAGACACAATACTCCAACGGATTAGTATCCAGAGATTTTGGCGGACACTGTGCGCTGGAAATGAAGCGAGGAACCTCATTTTGTAACCATTCCTGTGTGGCGCGGGCTAAGTGCGATGGTGCTGAGTCCGGTTAGAATGTTCAAGGTCTGCGGCCAAATTGTTTGCGTGCCAAAGGCTTTCATACACCCTCCAGAATATGTTCGCGATAATATTCCGAATTTATTCTGATACCACAGTCGTTTAGTACGAGCGGAGAGCGACCATCGGCACCAGAATATTTTCGCGATAATAAAATAGGCATTTATTCTGATGCCACGGTCAATTAATACGAGCGGAGAGGGACCATCGGCTGTTATGGCGGCCCACACCATCACCATGGCCGGCGCTTGAGTTCTGGTGACCAACCGAAGGTGCACATTTTAGTCTGACCAAGTAAAAACGATCGTTTTGTTTACAAACTGCTGGACAACGAATGTTTTCTCATCGGAGAAAACCAAATTCGGCAGTTCACCACTTTCGGCCAAGCGAATCAACTCTTTAGCTCTTTTGAGTCTATTTTCTTTCTGTTGCGGTGTAAGTACTTGCACTTTTTGGAATTCAATGGCTTTAACCCGAGCTCATTTTTCAATATTTGCCGAATGGATTATTGCGATTCGTTCAGCTCCGATCCATTTTTCGGCCACTGCGACGCGGGTTTCGATCAAGTCGCTTCTTTACTTTTCGAGCCATTTCTGCTGATTTTGCTGTTTCCTTCCGTCCACTTCCTTGACGCCGGGCTACGCTACCTGTATCACGGTAACGAGCGATGGTACGAGACACAAAAGATTTATTCACATTTAAATGCTGGAGTACTCTAATGAGAGCCACTACTGGTTTTCCAGCCACATATAAAGATTTCACGCTTGAATTCCATCACGAATAACTTTTTTCCTGGAAAATTCTCACCAAAATGCTTTTGTACCCTTGTAAACAATATAATGAGCTGTCACTGGGATATAATTTTAACAGCTGTCGGACGAGTGGCTTAGAAATGACAGCAGTCTGAAGTTGGTTGCAGTTTTTTTATCTCACGTTGTAACCCTATTCCTTTAGCACCTCCTTCCCAAATGGTCAAAATTTTGAAAAATTCCAAAGCTCATAAAATTTTGAAATTTTTCATTTTCTAATATTTCAAATAACTCTATGTGCCTCCCCCACATCTGGTCAAAATTTTAAATATTTATATCTCTCATAAAACGCTAAATAATCACCCAAATTTCACACATTCCATTATTTTTATTAACACAAGATTTGGTGAGAAGGTGGGAAATACTGGTCCACCCCTTCTGGTACCTCCCACACATAGGTCAAATTGTCAATAATTAGATCTCCCACAATTTGCGAAGGAAATCAGATATTGTTTTAAACTTAACATATCTAAAAATATTTGTCAACCGGAGATCTGGTGTAAATATGGAACATATCAGTCCACTCCTTCGGAAACCTACCCTCCATAAAGGATCAAAAGTTTGAATAATTATATTATAATTATATTATTTTATATAATATATAACGCAATTCTATCATTTGCTGAGGGTATACATGTGTCGGCAAAACCGAGTGACACTTTTAACTTCTTTATATGGATCTGTATTTTCCAATATATGCCGTTCCAATATATTCTTCTTAAAATAGACGAGTAAAAAAGCCAGGCCGGGCGCAACTTTGAATACCCTCTACCATTTGGAACAAATTTGGCAATTAAAAAAAAAATAAATCCGTAAAAAATTCTGTTACAATCTTGAAAATACCGAATGTAGCCGTTATATTAGGGTCTATATGACGACGTGGACCTGCATCATCAAAATAACGAATGTAGGGAGATACTATTATATGAATGCTATAGCAAAACATGGAACTGCAAAGACAATTTTCTGTCAGAGGCTGTAGTATCTATTACGAACTTCAAATACCAAATTTGAAGCAATTCCGTTGAAAAATGTCGTTAACATCATCAAAATACCAAATATCGGAAGGTACCGTTATATGGGGGCTATACGATGACGTGGACCTGCACAGACAAATTTCTGTCTTAGGCTATAGTAACCATTACGAATTTCAAATGTAAAATTTGAAACAATTCCGGTGAATAATGTCGCTAAAATAATCAAAATACCGAATATCGGGAAGTACCCTTATATGGGGGCTATAAGAAGACGCGGACCTGTACAGACAATATTCTGTCATAGGCTGTAGTATCCATTACGAACTTCAAATACCAAATTTGAAACAATTCCGGTGAATAATGTCGCTAAAATCATCAAACTACCGAATATCGGGAGGTACCGTTGTATGGGGGGTATAAGAAGACGTGGTCCTGCACAGACAATCTTCTAACATGGGCTGTAGTATCCATTACGAACTTCAAATACCAAATTTGAAACAATTCCGGTGAAAAACGTCGCTAAAATGATCAAAATACCGAATATCGGGAGGTACCGTTATATGGGGGCTATACCAAAACGTGGACCTACATAGTCCATTTTCAATACCGAAAGTCCTGCAGACATAATATACTTTTGAGTAAAATTTTATCTATCTATTTCATTTCGTTCGGAAGCAAGAGTGATTTCCACAGACGGATAAGATATAGACAGACGGACGGACATCTCTACATCGACATAGAATTTTATGCTGATTAAGAATATATACTTTGTGGGGCTAAAATGTATATTGCGAGGTGTTGCAAACAGAATGACAAAATTTATATACCATCCATACTATGGTGGAGGGTATAACAATACCATTTATATGCACACAGCACAAAAAATTTTCAAATATGTCTTTTCACAGAAAGTGATGTTGGGTTCCAAATTTTTTTCTGAAATGCTGCTGTTGTCTACCAGCACATGGATTAAGACAACAATTCCCATTGAAATGCCTTGAGAACTTGCTGGCAAAAATTTGCCAAACAATTAATGGCTTTCTAAATTTGTTAACACCTTTTGCAAAATTTTCGAAACATGTAATTGAGTAACGCCCCCATGTTAAATGTAAATATTGCCAAAATGTTCAAATATGAAAAGTTTTTGCTGGGTAATTACACGAACTATTTTATAAAGTCATTTTTTCGATAACTACACCATAGACGACATGCAAAAGAAAAAAACACAAAGAGCCGAAAACGTTATTAAAAAATTAAGACCTATTCCAACCCATTGACTGGCTTTACACCTGCAACCGTTTCTCATCATAACCGATTTCTTTGTGTGAATTTTTCCTTGTTTTTTTTTTTTTTTTTTTGAGTTGTTTGTTTGTTTTGGGCTGCCAAATTTTTTTTCAACAGCCACGAAATAACAACCGATACAGCAACCGAAACATGACTTTTATTAGTTTTGCTTAAAGGTTCAGTCGGCCGTCGTAACATGTTATTACCCGGTGTCGATCGGTGTTGCCTGGCTTTTGCAATGTTTACTCTTTCGTCTATGCAGATCGGAGCTGTTAGATTAAACCAATGTTTATTTCTGCAAGACCTCAATCACCTACAAAACATAGCAAATATTGTTGCACTTGCCACGACCACGAACGACTAAGACCACGACGACGAGAATGACTATGATAAAGACGGAACCGCTTACATCTATAATTCGGATAGCTGGCAAAAGAACAAATACCGCCAGCCAAATTTTAATAACAATAATAATTTCAACAGGTAGCATATGGCAGGCACATACATAAATACCTACATATGTGCCTCAAACATTAGCAGCATTGTTGTGGGCCACGAGTTGTTGTTGCAGTATTCCACTAATGTCCGATTTATCCAACAGCAATAATATAAGAGTTTCCATACATGGAATATTATAACACAATGGGAATCTCGACAGACGACAAAGCCGCAATCCAGCCAAGAATGGCTATTTGATGCAAGCCAAAAATGTGTCGCCGTTGTGGAGCTTTGCTCCATGCTGTTAGTTTGCCAAAGTTTGTTACAAAGTAATTTTGTGAAGTTAGCCGCAATGGCCAATATAAGTTGAAGAAGGGCCCAATGGAATAATTTAAAAAATAAATATTTTTGAGTGGTA